CTCCTTCTCCTTCTCCTTCTCCTTCTCCTTCTCCTTCTCCTTCTCCTCCCCCAGCCAGCACACAGCAGTTCTGCCGCCCTCTCTCCTTGCTCTGCTGCCTTCCTGGGACCCGACTGTTGGAGCTGCTTATCTCTGTTTCCCATGTGTGGGCCTAGCCAAGCCGTACATGTTTCTTGTTTGTTTGTTGTTTCAGCCCTCTCTCCACCAGCCGTGATGGCAGACAGCGCATGCAGCTGAGCCCACAGTGACCGCAGGGCCGGAGCTTGCGGCACCTCTCAGTATGGCCGTGCCAGCCAAGTGGCCATGGTGGCAAGCAGCCTTGCTGGAGGGGCTGTTTGTTTACCCTGAGCCGCAGGCGTGCTCACGGGGCACAGGCCAGGCCGCAGTGTCTGGTGAGCGGCTGCAATGAGATGGAGCACGCAGGACGTGGGAGCTGTGGTTTCTGCAGGCAGAGGAACTGGTGCATGGCTTTGGCTGCAGCCTGCTTTAGAAGCAGCCTCTGTGTTTGGGAAGGAGGGATGGGGACAGCCCTGACTTGTGGAGGCCTTTTGGGTTCCAGCAGCTGCTCCCCTTTGCGCACCCTGGTGGCAAGCACCTGGCCTGATGGGTCCCGCTGAGCATTTCCCACTCAGAAAGAGTGCTCTGGTGCTCAGTGACCCCGCTCAGACATCCCTGAGCCTATGTCCAGTGCTTTGCTTGTCTGGAGGACCCAATCCAGCACAGCAATAGCAGTAACCCCACTGTGACCCCTTAAGAAATGAACCTGCACACGTTCAGCCTTGTAGTTCCCCTTGGAGGAAAGGAGATGTCACCATCTCCCTTTCACTGGTAAAACAGAAGAGCAGCTCTGGTGCTGTGCTGGGAGCCTGCTGCTGTCCCTGCCGCCCTGCCCAGGGTGCCCTGTTGGCATCCCATCCCCTGCAGCTGCCTGGTTCCTGGGGCTGTTGTTGGACAGTCCCTCCTGCACTGCTCCAACACCCAGAGAAAATGCTGGGGTGGCGGTGGAGCCAGTGCCCTTGGGGAGAGAAAAGACAGAAATCTACATCCTCTTCTGCCTCCTCAACAACAAGATGTCCCATCACCAGCTCACTGCAGAGCCCTGCATGGGATCCCGCTCCCCCTGGGTCGCCACGCTCTGTTCTCCCCCGGCTGCTGAAAGCACTGGAGGGTTTGCTTGCCATGCTGCCAGGCCAGCAGTGAGCTGGGAGGGCTCCAGCTGGCGTGCCGCAGTCAGCCCAGGGCTTGTCACTCTTCTGACACAGGAACCCCAGTGGGAAAGTTATTCCCACCCGGGCAAGCGGTCAGAAATTGGGGCCAGGCTCTGTTCTCTCACCCGGTGTGCTCTCAGTGTCAGGGTATTGTTGCCATCAGTGCTTAAGTCATGGTCACCCCCCAGGGGCTGGTGACAACAGCTCCAGTTGTGCTTGCTTTGGGGTAAGGTGTGGGGCCCTGACCTGTGGGCACAGCTGCCAGCCCCCCCGTCCGCGCTCCAGAGATGTGGCTGGTGGCACATCCCCAGGCACCATTCACTGCAGTGCCAGCACCTACTGTCTGCTGTGTGGCTGTGGCAGGATGGGACACAGAAGCTTGCTGGCTGTGTGCTGTGGGGCCAGCACCATTCCCAGCAATCTCTTTATGCTGATTTCATGCCCTGGAGCTGCCCAAGATCTGCTCTTTTCTACATGGAGAATAGCACGCGAGGGGCTCCTCCTCTGCCTGCAGGCGCTGGCTCTCTGCCACTGCATTTGGAGGCTGTGGCAAAGTCGTGCCACACTTTAATTACACCAATTAATTCCTGAATACCATCCTTGCTGTGGCATGGGGGAGGTCAGGGCCAGCAGTGGGGAGCATAAGCGGACCCTTGTATTGTCCTCCAGTCTCATTGCCTGCCAGGCCCCGCTGGCTGTTCCTGCCCTCAGAAGGGCTCCAGCAACCCTGCGGCTGCAGCTCGCCTCCACGTGGGTGCCCTGCACTGTTCTGAAGGCTCCTTGTACTGGGAGAAGGGAGAAAAAGCCCTGGGACCCGTGGCTGGATTAGGGAGGGCTGGGACAGAAGGACTGTGCTGTGTTCTCCTCCCCGCTCCCTCTATCCCCAGGGCTGTGCTGGTTCCTGGGACTGCTCTCAGTGATGTCCCTGTGGAACCATCCTTCATCACACCCAAGAGCTTTGCCCAGAAACTCTCAAGGAAATCCTGCTCTGCCTCCACTGTTCCCCAGATAGGGTTTGCTGTCAGGAACTGCAGGCAGTGCAGGATCGATCTCCACCCATTCCAGTCACTCTGGGTGAGCTGGGCAGGTTAAGGCCACCCCTTGCTGTGGCCAACCCTCTTTTTCTGCGAGGATGCTTTATCTGCAAGGCCATGAGGATTGCCAGCAGCCAGCCTGCGCCATGCGGTGCTGGGAGTGCTGTGGGCAGAAATGGAACGGCAGAGCTGCCTGCTGGGAGCCGTGCTGTAGCACTGCCAATGCCGTGGCTGCTGGTGGCCTTGCTCCCAGCAGAGAGCATTCTGATGAGGCAGCCTCATGCAGCCCATTGTAACGCTATCTGCCGGAGCGTTTTTGAGGAGGGTTTTTGCCCCTTGCACAGGGGCATGTGCAGGCATTTCCCAGCCCCACTGCTTCCAGTGCTATGAGGCACCGGGAGATGAGGGTTGTGCTGCTGCCCTCCTTCCTACCCCATAGCACAGCCCCATGAGCTGCTCTGCCCTTGTGCTGTAGCCCCACTCACAAATGGTGCCGGCAAATGATTAACGTGTGTGTGAAAGTCAAATGTGCTCTGTGCAGATTGCAGACAGCTGGACCAGAAAGGAGGGGGAGAATGAGAAGAGGAAGAGGAGGAAGTGGAAGAAGAAGAGGAAAAGAAGGAGAAGGAAGGAGAAAAAGAGAAAGGAAACAGGGAAAGGGGAAAGGAAAAGGAAAAGGAAAAAAGAAAGAGCTCTTGCTCCTAGTGGGCCAGCAGCCTGCAAGCTTGGGGCCTGTGTGTAAATGGGGAGGTGTGATCCTACACATGAGCTGTGGGATCCTGTGTGTATGGGGAGCCCCAGGGACTGACCAGAAGAGGGGACATCCTGCTGCCCAAGGCCATTGCCTGCTCAGACCCAGCGCTGTGTGTGGAGCAGCCCTTTCCCTGCACCACTGGGCAGCCCCAGTGCCCTGCTGTGCAGGCAGGACTCACACTGGCTCTGATGTCCTTTCCCAAAAACATTCATCCCCTGTGGTTTCCTCTGCTCTCATCTCTCAGAGCGGATGCTGTGTCAGCGCGCGCAGGCGCCGGGTCGCTCACAGCTCACAGCTACAATGTTCTGTTTGCAGCAGAGGCTTAAAAAACAAACAACTTTTCCAAAACAAATGGGATTTGTCAGCCCAAGTGATGGAGACAGAGCTGCCAAGAGGTTGCTGGGAGTAAAAGGCCACACAAACATTGGTTTAATCCCTCTGTCCTCCCGCTGTCAGCAGGGATGCTCCAGCAACATCCCTGCAAGCTCATGCCCTAAGCTGCTGCAGGTTAACGGGGGCTGCTGGAACTGCTCCTTGGTGGATCTCCTGACCCTTACTAATGCCTTTGGAGGGGAGCTGCCTGCTCAGGCCCATCAGTGAGGCCAGGGGCCCTTTTTCTCTTCCCCTCCTGCCCCCCTGCTCAGTTGCATTGTAGCATGGGGTGCTTAGTACTCCTGGGCTGCCCTCGTCCCTGTGATGTGTCCGTTCATGCAGGGATGGAGCTGGGAGCAAGTTGGCTGAGAGGAAAGCACGGGTTGTCCATGTAGGCCTGACCTCAGGCTGCACCACTGATCTGCAGTCCTGTGCTCGGGGTCCTGGGAAGGGCACTGTCAGGAAGGACAAATAAGGGAATAAGGGCCTGGAGTGGAGTCGGAGTCTCTATCCTTGAAGATATTCAGGTCTTGGCTGGGGCAGACTGGGAGCATCGTTCTTGGAGCCAGGCTGGAGCAGCGGGGCTAGAGCATGGACCTTCACCGGGAACCTGGCCATCTCTGTATGGTTACTACTGGAGGGGGCTGCTCCTCACTCACAGCCCATACAGGGTTAGGAGTAGGTGGGTGCTGGGGCTGCTGCCAGCCCTTACTGCCCAGCTGCATCCCCATGTCCTGATGACACGTCCTCATGCCTGGGTTCACACGTGGCTGTCGCGTGCTGGAGACCATCCTCCTGCTGCTTCTCCTCATTCCCTTCCAGCATTTTGCTCTGTGAAGCCCTGCAGTGTGCCTGCCTCACGTGCACAGTGCGTTGTGCTGTTTGCTTCGATCTCAACTTGAGTCTTGATCATCAGAACCACAAAAAAGGCAAATGTCCTCTGCAGAGTCCAGTGTGAGGCTCAGCAGTGTCTGGCAAGGGTGGGATCTGCTTAAAAAATGTTTATGGAAGAGGAATAAAAAAATCAAAAGGTGGAGGAAAGAAAGAAGAAGACAGCTCAGCAGATAGATAGCAACCCCAGGAGACCCTCCCCTCGGCAGCAGGAAGCAGGGAACATAAGGAGCCGTTTATTTTAAGTAAACTATAAATATTGGACTACAACAAACGCATGTAAGAAAAGAAAAGTTGGTCCGAATCCAAAGATTTGCAAGAGGTCGCGAGCAAACATGTGTGATTGAGTCTGGCAATTCCGCGTGTGCGTGTGCGCTGGTGCACGTGCTCATCAAGGGCTGCAGCGCTAGAGACAACATAATCCCCCCAAATTAAAACCAGAGCAAATTAAAAATCGAGACAAGGCTGTGGCGGAGCCTCGAGGCTGCTGATAAGATCAGTATGCTGATGGCAGGAGTGCCCCAGCAGCTCCAACCCCGAGCATGGCTGCGCTCTGCTGCCCGTTCCCGTGGATGGTATCACAGGACTGTGGCTCTGCTGTAGGCTCCGGGCTTGGTGCAGCAGCTTGTGGGGCTGGAGCTCAGACACAGCTCGCCCTGGATCTCTGTGGGGCAGTTGGGGGGTGGGAGCAGCTCCTGCTGATGCCACTCACGCAGCCCTGACCAGCAGGCTTGGGGAGGCCCAGGGCACGGAGCTTCAGGCTTAACAGCAGTCCTGCAGCTCAGTTGCACCGTATCAGCTGTGGTCACACTTGGGCAGCTTTCAGCTGATGTGACCAGCTCTACGGCGCCTGCATGTGCTCAGGCCTTGGCAGCCTGCTCACAGAGCCCTGCTTTGACCTCGAGCAGAGAGTAAATCTGATGGGCACGAGGCGCTGGCCCTTGCCGCGCTCCCAGGCTCGATGACAGTTAACATATTGCTCTGTGAGCAG